TCTGGCTCTCTGTGTGTGTGTCTGTCTGTCTGTCCGTCTGCTCTGGCTCTGTGTGTGTGTGTGAGGCCCTGGACTCTGTCCCCAGTGCTAAAAAGAATTAGCTGGTTTCATAACTATCTTGTCTCAGTCTCTTGTTGCTGAGATGAAGTCCCCAGCACCCCAAGTTAAAAGCGGGCAGGTTATTTGGTTCACAGTGTATAGAGGTTTGATGCATACCTGGCTGACGCCACAGTGGACGGCGTGCAGAGGAGAGACGGCTCTTGGCAGAAGGCAGCAGGAAAGGGGACAAGCTCCTTTCTGTCCATTATGTTGTCCACCCTTACCCCAGCAGTGGCCCCAAGCTGTAGACTCAGCCGCCTCTGAAAGCCTCCCCCAGGACTGCATGCAGCTTTGGGGGATGTCCAGACGCCAGCTGGGTCCAGCTTCGCTCTCTCCAGCAGCTGCTCATCCAGGTTTTCTAGAGATGCATGTGGTGTCTCCCCAGCTGTGTCTTACCTAGTGACCCAGAGACGCCCCACAATGACAAACCAAAACGCTGTGCTGCTTGAGCCCCGCTGATACCAATAGACAGATGGGAAGGGGTTCTCAGGTGGCCTCCCAGCAGCTGTCGCCATAAGTGCCTGCCTTGACCCCGCAGCGCCACTGAGAGGCCCCAGTGGTCTCTGTGCTTGCACTTCGAGCAGGGTTCCCTAGGAGCGCTCTGCAGTGCAGGGCCGCGTGCTGTTGAGAACCTTTCCTCTCGCTCACACTGGAGATCGGGCCTGGGAGCTGGTAGGGATTTATTAAATTAACTTCACTTGTCTTACACGCTGTGGCTGCCCGGGGCAAAGAGGAAATGCGAGGGAACAAGGTGTATGAGAAAAGGCTCGCACTGCCAGCATGAACCCCGTGGAAGGCAGCTGGGTGCTGCGCAGCGCTCCCACTCACTGCTGCCCTGTCCGTGACTGCACGCAGCTTAGCTTCTGGTAGTGGGGCCAGAGGGGCAGCAGGATGACAAGGAGGCCAGCCGGGGGCTGCTGCCTGACGTTAGCACACACTCAAGGCCAAGGAGGGCTGGCAGCTGGGGCCGGGGCCGGGGCCGGGGCCGGGGCGTGCGCCGTCGCCAGCTGTGCACCGCCCTGCACCTCTGCTCCACGTGGGCTTTGCACCCCGCTCCACCCCCTGGAGGTGGGACACGGCCTCAGCATTGCAGAGTGAGCGGGAGCTGAGCTTTTCTGAAGGAAGAACGTGGCTCAGGCACAGCACACCTGAGTACCCAAGAGGCTACCCAGAGACACAGATTCCGCCCTCAGAGAATTGAGTCACGACTGCATCCTCCTCTGCAGTCCGCGCACGTGCAGGGCTCGGGTTCACCCTGTCAGGCGCGCGACGCCCCGTGCCAGCTGAGCGGGGCTGAGGACTGAGTGTGGCCTCCCCTGGGCCCCCGTGCTTCAGGTTCGGGGAGGCCTTGCCTGGCCACATCGGCCTCTGCGCCAGCACTGGCCACGCCAGCATGAGCTTAAGCCAGTGCACGGCCTGCGCCCATCAGCCGGCAGCTCAGGTTCCCTCCTGGAGCAGAGCGGTGTCTCTCAGGCCATGCCTGGTTCCTCTTTCTCAGCCTCCCTCAGTCAGCCACTAGCACAGGGGGCGGGTGTAAAGCTTGCAGACACTCACAGCAGGAAGAAAGCTGGGCAGGGGTTCATACTTATCTCGGGAGGCTGAGACAAGAGGACTGCAAGCTCAAGCCCAGTCTGTTTGAGCAAGTTCAGGGCATCCTAGACTGCATAGACCCAGACTCAGAAAGTGGGGTAGAGGAGTAAGTGTGGCTGTAGGCTCGGCCCCCCTGAAAATGGGAGTCGTGAGCTGATCCAGCACTCCGCAGGCTCTGTCCCTGACCTGGGGAAGGTATTTTTCTAGAGCAGGCATCCTTTGCAGACACCAGCCAGCATTTTCCTTGGAGGAGCAGAAAGAACAGCCCTGCTGTGTGTGGTCAGTGACAGCCAGCCATGGTGCCAAAACCGAAAGGCTCAGAGCCAACAGGAGAAGCAGGACCACGGCCCGTACCCCAGCTGTGCGCCTGCCAAGCCTGCTGGCTGCCAGGCTCCCCTTCGGGCCGTGGCCTTCCTGTGACAAGTAGACTCAGGACCTTTACGCTAGGCCACTGTTGCCAGGGCACCATTTCTGTCCCTCTTTCTCTCACCAGGACCTAGCTGGATGAGGCCATCTGCAAGCCCTCAGCTGAGATGGTATTTGCTGTTGGGGCGTGGCATGGGGAGGGGGGAAGCCCCTCTCCAGAATGGCCCTCTGTGCTTGTCAGGGCCGTGGTGGAGTGGAGGGGGTCTCTCCTAGGCCCTCTCAGGGAAGCTGCTGCTGTGGACCAAGCAGAGATGAGGCACAAACACACCTGCAGAGCACCATCCTCTGGCCTGCTCCTGGAGCTCTGGGGAGCAGGGACCTTCAGCACTGTGATCCTCAGGTCCATGTGATGGGCAAGAGGCCAGGAGGGGTCCCAGGGCATGTGAGGGTCAGGCCACCCCTGAGGTCTGCTAGCAGAGCTGGTGGGGCCCTTGATGCAGGCAGGTGACAGGGAAGTGGCGCAGGGCAGATGCTCTGAGCAGGTGGCCGGGTCCTCCACCCTGACCTGAGCCCCACCACCACCCCTTCCTGGTGCCTGTCCGAGGCAGAACAGACTTCACAGGCTGGCACTGTCTCCTTGCCACTGCGGATTGGGTATGGCAGCCTCTTCTGCATGTTCTCACCTGTTTTTGCTTTCTGCCCCTTTGGTCTGGAAGCGAGTCATAGACAGCCAGGCAGAGAAGCTGAAGGAGCTAGACAAGGAGATCCGTCCCTTCCGACAAAACTGGGAGGAAGCAGACAGCATGAAGAGCAGTGTGGAGTCACTGCAGAACCGTGTGACGGAGCTGGAGAGCGTGGACAAGAGCGCGGGGCAGGCAGCTCGGAACACAGGTGGGGGGGCCGCACTGGGCTGTGGTCAGGGCCTTGACAGCGACCACGAGTGGGAGGTGAAGGGCGACGCAACTGCGCCGCCTGTGTGTGAGGGAGGGCAGGCCTGGGGGAGACCGCCTGGGGCTGGCAGCACTGGCAGCAGTGGCAGCTGCCGTGGGTTGCCCACCGGCTGAGCAGATGAGGGCCCAGATAGGGATGGGGAGTCCATATAAAAAGGCTTAAGGCTGGGAAGACAGGGTTATCCACACACATGGCCAAATGAATTGGTTAGAGATGGGGACAAGGGCAGCCCAGCCACAGAGCACGGCTGACCTTGTGGGCATCAGATGGGTGCAGGGGACCTTGAGGAGTGGGTAACTCCATGGTAGCCATGAGGGGTGAGGGAGAGGGCATGGAGGTACTGTGGGATGCCCCACCTCTACAGCAGCTGCCGTGGCTTCCCTGGCTGAGGATGGAGCCGTGGGCGCAGGTTTCCAAGGCCAGCCTCCCGCATCCTGTATTTCACCCGCCTGTCTGTCCTCCTCGGCAGGCTTGCTGGAGTCCCAGCTGAGCCGGCATGACCAGATGCTGAGCGTGCACGACATCCGCCTGGCCGACATGGACCTGCGCTTCCAGGTGCTGGAGACTGCCAGCTACAATGGCGTGCTCATCTGGAAGATCCGTGACTATAAGCGCCGGAAGCAAGAGGCTGTCATGGGGAAGACGCTGTCCCTGTACAGCCAGCCCTTCTACACTGGCTACTTTGGCTACAAGATGTGCGCCAGGGTCTACTTGAATGGGGACGGGATGGGCAAGGGGACGCACTTGTCGCTGTTCTTCGTCATCATGCGCGGAGAGTACGACGCCCTGCTGCCGTGGCCATTTAAGCAGAAGGTGACGCTCATGCTGATGGATCAGGGCTCCTCCCGGCGCCACTTGGGGGACGCGTTCAAGCCAGACCCCAACAGCAGCAGCTTCAAGAAGCCCACTGGGGAGATGAACATCGCCTCTGGCTGCCCAGTCTTTGTGGCCCAAACTGTTCTAGAAAATGGGACGTATATTAAAGATGATACCATTTTTATTAAAGTCATAGTGGATACTTCGGATCTGCCTGACCCCTGAGAGGCCGGCGGATGGTGGCTTCAGCAGAAGGTAACTCCTCTGGGTGGAACCGGTCTGTCTTCACTGAGGTCCTGAGTGCGGGGAGGACCTTGTGGAGCGGAGGATGCGGCAGGAGCAGATGCGGCCACGGGAGGAGCCCGCGGAGACGCCCCACCGTGCCCTCCCGTAGCCTAGCCGCCCTTTACTCTGAAGAATTATTTATCCTTTGACAAGATAAATATTGCCGTGAGAGAAGTTTTCCATTTTCATTTTTAAAGATCTAGTTAATCAAGGTGGAAAACATATATGCTAAGCAAAACAAACATGATTTTTCTTCCTTAAACTTGAACACCAGACACAGAACACACACGGAAGAGCTGGGCCTGTCAGCATGTTAAGTAGAAGGATAACTTATGAAATAATAACACAGTTCTGAATATTCGTTCTACAAATCAAGAGTGCAGTCTTGTTCCAAATATAGTCTGCTGTCTATTTTTAAGGCCTCATCTGGTCTCTGTTTTAATAATTTGTTTGTCAGAAGACCTGAGGTATACCTAGGTCTTTTTTTGAAAGTATCTAAATTCAGAAGTCATTTTTTAATTTAAAGTTCTACAAATGTTACTACAACATTTTACTTTAAAACATTGATAGACTGATATTTCTTGGAAGAAAATGTAAACTATCAACACTGGTTATCACTTGTGATAGGAAAGAGAATTCAACTTGTTGTTATTTCTCGTTAGAAATGTAAACCTTCAATATCTGTCGTAGTTAATGACACTACTTCAAAATTATTACGAAAGGAACGTTGCTCATGGATGCTGTGCATCATTTTCAGATTTATAATTGTTTTCACCCTAAAATAGGGCATTAGTTGAACTTTGGAGTTCTAAACAAAATCCTGTAGGTTTTTAAAATTCTGCCCCGTGTCCAGTGAGCTCTCCAGCTGCGGCAGCAGCCCCGCCCGACATCCTGGCTCCTCCCGGGTGGGCGCAGCCGCGCTGTGGGAGGCCTGGCGGGGCGCCTCCATCTGTCACACTGCTGCATGCTGTTGCAGTCTCTGAAAGTGATGTCCTTGCTTAGGGAAGGTGGCGTACGGTACTCGTGCCTTAGACGTGACATGCTGCTGCTTGACCCTGGGTTTGCGTTCGATGGGATTCTAGAAAGTGCTGGTTGAACCAGACTTCTCTCGCTCTCCGCCGCTAGATTTGTGTCTCCAAGGCCCTCACGCAGGTCGGTGCCTGCCAGGGATGCCGGGCTCCGTGGGCAGCTTCCAGAGCCCCCATGGCTTCGTCATCCAGATTCCAAATTCCAGGTCCCAGAGCTGTGTGTCCCCAAGTCCCCATATTGTCACATCCCCACCTGGCCCTGGACATCCGCACAGCTCCGAGCAGAGCCCTCTGAACACCCAGAGACCCTGCTGGGGAAAGGGGCTGCCTGCTGACCCACGCTCCCGCCGGGCACCGGCACTCGCCCTCAACACTGTTTACCGTCTCGAGCCCAACTGTGATCAGAAGCCTGGAGCCCCGCCTGTGCCCCTTTTGCTATGCACCATGCTCCACGGTGCTCCTACACGATGGGTGCTACACGCGACGGGTGCTTCTAGGCAGAGCCAGTGTGTGCGAACCACCACACCCGTGCCACTCGCCCAAAAGGCGCACCCATGACTGGCCAGCTGGGCGCGCGTCGGACTGCCCACCTCTCGGCTCCCCACGGTCGCGCGGTGACGGCTGGGTTGGTGCCCAGTGGCCCACCTTGTCTCTGGTGCTGCCGTCTGTCCTGGGTGTGCCTTCGCCCCAGTGCCTGCTGGACGTGCCCTCCGCTCATCTGCTTGTCCCCGAGCTTCACGCACCTCCATGCCGCACGGTTCCATGTGCTGCTCCCCCTGCTGTCCTGGGGTCCCGTGGGCTCGGCTGGCATCCTTGGTTCTGCCCCAGGGAGATGTGACCATCACGAGAAGGAAAGACCCGAGAAAGCTGGCCCCAGCAGTGACCTGGCCCCTCCAGGCCTGTCCCCAGGCTCTGCTCAACGCCTGAAGGCGGCACAGTGGGCCACAACCCCATCTCCTGGCGTTGGTCAGATGCCTGCTTAGTACCAGCAGGTTTAGGGGGTGTGCTTCCAGGGCTGGGTGAGCCCTGGAGACCTGCTCCAGAGCCATCCCTGTGGGACAAGGGGGCGCCTGGCTACACCTGCATCCACAGATGTGAGGAGTGACGTACTGACCCCGGGTGAGGCTGGTGTGCCCTGGCTGCTGCCTCCGGGTGACTGGTGCTGGAGAGGGGGTGGCGTGCTCTGCAGGACCCGCGGGGACTTGGTCCCGGGTGGCGTGGTGGTGTCTTGCCTGGGTGCCCCACACCACCCCTCGGTGCTCGCGCCTGGCAGTTAGGTGGTGCTCCCCACCGGGCCAGCACCTGCTGCCCCAACCTCGGTTCACAGGGTCCCAGCCCAGGAGCCCGGGTGGCCACAGCGCGTGCGTGTGTGCGTGCGTGCGTGCGTGTGTGCGTGCGTGTGTGTGTGTGTGTGTGTGTGTGTGTGTGTGTCTGGTGTGCACTTCTTAGTACCAAAACTGACAACATTCCCAGGGGTGCAGCTGTATTGCGCCTTAAACCAATGCTAAGTCCTTCGTGCTGTGACCTGTGCAAGCGCCGCTGTCACCAGGGCCACCTGCTGCAGGGCACTCGGGGCTGCCCAGGCCTGTGGTTCTGGACTTTCAAGGGAAGTGAGAGCCACCAAAAAGCAGGGCATCTGTGCTGTGGGAGGCCGGGTTGTGTGGGGGACGCTTGCAGGGGCTGGGATGCAGTGCTGGGGCCGTGGGACGGAGTCCACTTGGAAGCTGGGCTTCCCGTGTCCCAGCTGCACTGGGGACGCCACAGAGGCCCGGCAGGAGCCCGCAGGGGCGTACTCATGGTCACAAGGCCGCCGCGCTGCCCCCGCTGTCCTCGCAGTGGCTGCTGTCTGGATGGTGTGCCAGGGCGACTGGGAGGCTGTGTCCCAGCCCCTCCTCCTGGAGCAGAGCAACCCGTCTACTTGGTGCCCGCAGTGCTCCCCCAAGGTTCTGGCCTCCCAGCACAACTGGGCTGGTCAATGGCTGCATTTCCCTGGGTGTCTTCCTGCCACCTGTCACAGTCCCATTTCCTCCTCAGCCTGTGACCCCGGATGCCATGAGGTGCCACCCGCAAGCCCACTGCCCTCCAGGGTCCCCTGCCCTGGTTTTCCCCGACCACACGTGGCTGGCCTCAGGGAGGACATAGTGTCAGGCACACTCCCAAGGGGACCCAGCTGCCTCCGCAGATCTCTGCCCCGCCGGAGTTGCCCATCCCCAACTGAGGCTGTGTCCCAATGGAGGCCCCCCCCTTGCTGGGAGGCCCTAGAAGTCAGTGCACCTGCCTGATGGCCACCCAGCCAGTGGACAATGCCCTTGATGCCCCACAGGTGGGGGTGTGGGGGCAGCCCCAGAATAACGGCATCCTGAGGGGTGCCTTGGGTAGTTCCAGGACACCAGTGGCCACCCAGTCGCTGTCCCAGTGCCAGCCCCTTGTGCTCCCCTGTGTATTGCGCGAGCTGTGGGCAGTTGCTGTGGGCCTGCCAGACATTCCGACTGGCAGCGCTGTTTCTGGATCACTCTGGCACCGGTCAGAGCACAGAATCCCTGGGGACCCCTGGCCAGTCCCCCACCTGTCCCTCTGCCTGCACAGGCTGGCCCAGCTGGGGCCTTGGATGCTACTCTTTACATTTGGTCCAGATCTTTGTGGATGGAGCTGCAGGAGACCCGGGTCCGAGGCACGCCTGTGTGCCGGGTGTGCGTGACACGTGAGGCTCTGTCACCAAGTCATGTCTCAGCCTAGACCATGGTTCTGTCTTCTGTTTGCAAATCTCCATAGCTGTTTTCTCCAAAGTCGAATATGCCCCACAGGGCCGGGTCAAGCACGGTTGGTGCCAGGAGGGGACGCAGTCACCGCAATGGGCTCATCTTGGCTGGTGCCGGCTGTCGGACCCCACGGGAACCAGGGCAGCAGGGCCCATGGCTTCCCTTGCCCGTTGTGCCGTCACCGGGCCGGTGCGGCGGCGCGTGCTGCTACTTGGTCTTGCCGAGCGTCTGGTGGCTGCAGGCGGGGGGAAGGCCCAGGCCCCGCGAGCTGCCTCGTCGCTGTGTGACTGGTTCTACAGCTCAGTCCCCGTAGACAAGTAGGATGACCGTCAGCCGCAACCCAGTAACTAATTGGAAAACACAGAAGCCGGCCTTATTTCCAAGAATTTCCCTTCATCTCTCTAGGAGAACCCTGATCGCGGAGCGTGCAGGTGAGGTAGGCCGGCTCTAGATTTGCATTCCTTCCCTGGTGGTCCGCACACCTCTTGTGTTCAGTTCTATACCCAAAAACAAAGACCAAAGAAGGCCAGTCTCTCATTTGGCTGTACTTTTAATCTGCCTGTTTTACAAATTGCCGTCCGCAGTGACCGCATGCGCGGCCACCTCAGCTCCCGTGGTGGTGACAGTGGCGGCGTCCCGCATTCCCAGCACTTCTGAGAGGTTGGAGCGAGTTACTGCTCGGCAATAATCCTGTCGTCCCGGGGTTAGCAACGCGGCTGACTTTCTGATAGCATTACTATGGTTTCTGTTTCTGTTTACTGTATATCGTGTGTGGTTTTATTTGGTATTTATTTGTGTTTTGAGGTCTTGCGATGTTTTTGTGTTTCTGATGCTAATAACTAAAGTTTGTAAGACTGTAGAATGCGAAACTTGGAAATGCTAAACTGTCTTATTAGAGAAAAATAAACCTGATTAAGAGTCTTGGTCTCTTCTCAGCCTGCCTCTCACTGCCGGGCTTGGGCGAGGGTCCCGGTTCTGTGTGGTCCCTGAGGCTGGGCTGTCCCCTGGACATCTACAAAGAGTTGGAACCAGGGCCTGTGAGGCCCCGCCGGGGTCTGCGGGTTGGGCCACTTCGGAGCTTCCGGAGGCCCAGGGCCCCCTCCAGAGGCTGTGGTGTGGGTCCAGCCTCCGGGGCGCTCATCTGCGGGACCACGGACAGGCTGGCTCAGCAGCCCCTCGAGGGGCAGACTGCTCAGGGGCTGGCATGAGGGTTCGAGCTCTGGCCCACCCAGGTTTGCATCTGTGTGGGCCCTGGCAGCCACCATCTCATTGAGGGGCCCCAGATGAAGTGGAGGGGCCCTCAGCCCCACCTGCAGCTCCCACAGCTCTCAGCCTCAGCCCAGCCTCCAAAGCCTAGCGCAGGCCTCCTGAGAGGATGCTGCCTGCTACCAAGTGTGACCTAGGACCAAACCCCTAGGGTCCTCTTTCTGGCCTCACCCAGGGCACAGCCTGGCCCTCTGAACCCCTGCTCCCACCCTGTCAGGGGCCCCATCTCCTGGCTGGTCACCTCCACTGACAACCTGGGGCACCTGGCCCTGCTGAAGACATGCCCGGCTCGGATCTCAGAAGCCACATTCTTCTCCAGGGGTTTTCCTCTGAGCCAGGAAGGAGAGGACAGAAGCTCACTCCAAAGCTGGCTGCCTCGTGCTAGGTGGATGAGAAAGGGCACTGAGCCAGACCTCGCAGAGCACACTGGAGGCCATGTGCAGCCCTCAGGGCTGCTGGCTTGGGGCCAGCTCTGGCCTGGGATTCAAGTGTGGGGGTCCAGGCTGGCGATCTGTGGCACTAGAGTCCCCAAGCTCGGGGCGGGAAGGACACTGCCAGAGGATCCAGGTGCTTCCAGGCTGGCGAGGGCCCAGTGGCTTCTGTGTGGGCCGAGCTGTGTGCAGCACTGTGGCCACCAGGGGCCCAACTCTGCGGGGCCCACTTGAAATAGGAGGCACCAGGTGGGGAGGAGGCCGGCCTGGTGGGGCCTGGACTTCACACCTGTCCCGGGGAGACTGCAGCTCACAGTACCCACTACAGTGGCTTCAGACCCCGGCTGTGGGTCCCACTTCCTGGAAACAAAATCACCAATGTCACGTTTTAAGAAACACCCCTCAAGAGCTGGGCCCTGCGTGGAAAGTATCATGTTGTGCTGTGGCCCATAGCGGTCAGGTCCACTCTGCTGGTGCCCTGGGCTTCCCCTGACAAGCAGCTGGGTCAGAAGGGGCAGGGGACACTGGCCCACAGATCCCTCAAGCAGCAGCTTCAGGGGAGTCCTGCTCCCTGTTCTTAGCCAAGGAATGGGACAGGCTGACACCTGGGGGAAGACACAGGAGTCACCCTCCTGGGAATGCCCATCTGCTGGGATGGGTGGGAAGGTGGGTAGGCAGCCAGTGTGGCCACACACCAAGTGGGAAGCACTTCTGGTGACCAACCTGCAGCAGTGGCTGGGCCAGGCAGGCGCTCAAGCCGCTGAGCTATCTTCCTGGCCTCTGGCTACACCCTCTCTGTGGTCTGAGCTGGGTCCACCCAAGAACAGGGCGGAGCCAGGCAGAGGTCCCCACCTCCTCTCTGTGGGGCTTGGGGCCCAGTCACCATGGGGTAGGGCCCTGGCACTGGACACCCGACAGGTCCTGTGGACCCCTGCTAGCCTCAGCCTCGTCTGCTTCTCTGCTGCCCACTCCCAGCCCAGTCCAGTCTCCTCTCCAGAACCCCGGGTTGGGCAGGGACAGCACAGGCCACACTCCTAGCCCTGCCCAGTGCCCTTCACGCTATCCCCAACCTGCTGCCCACACACCAAGGGAGCCAGGGGCTGGGAAGGCCATTGCTCTGGCAAGCTGGCTGCAGCGGTTGGACAGAGGTGGCATGTTAGTATGCCAGTCCAGGATAGTATGAGTGGGGAGCCAAGCCTTGCCAGAGACTGAGCTGACCCAGCCTGCCCTGGGCAGCCCTGCTCTCCTCAGGGCCTTAAGTCCTGGCCGGCACAAGTGAGCACCAGCACAGCCTGGTCTCCTCCCGCACAACTTTGCTACCAAGGACTTGGTGACCTCCTGGCTGCCTGGGTTACCTTGAGTGAGGGCCTCCTGCTACCTCCTGCTAGCTGTCCCCACCCTGTCCCTCCTGGGGGTGCCCCTTCTGGAACTAGGATTGGATGTGGCAGGCCCCCTTCTGCTGCAGAAACCCCTGGCCCATCCAGTCCCAGAAGTCCCCAGGTCTCTTGAAGGCGCATGGCAGGTGCTGGTCCCTGGCCCACCTGCCTCCTGATGGTGGCCAGCTCAGCTGGACCTGCCCAGCTCGGGTACAGCCAGGCTGAGTTCCCTCGGCCCCCAGGGCTCAGCTGGCCCCCACACAACACTGCTCCTTCCTGTGACACAGAACAAACAGGATGTCGCCTCCAAGTGCCCCTGTGCCCGGGACAACACTTCCTGTGGGCCAGCGAGGGGGCCAACCTCGGGACCCCGAGCCACCTGCCTTGCCCACTGGCAGCTGGTGAACTGCGAGCAGCGGGGCACGCGTGGCAAGGGCCAGGTCCCCACTCCTAGTCACCATCCACCACGTGCAGGCCATGGCCCGGGTCCCTCCTCTCGGGTGAGAAGCGCACAGCTGAGATGTTGCTGGACACAGCCGCCACCTCTTGCCCGACCTGCCCAGACCAGTCCCGCGGATGTCCTACTGGCACACTCCGTGGTCCTCTGCCCCCACATCCTCACTGCACTGCCGTCCACCTCGCCGGCTCCTTCCGGTCCACCCTGTCTGTGCATCGCTCCTCGCCAGCGCCTGCCCCTCCCTCCTCTGCACACCAGCCTCGGCCACGCGTCCCCCGCGCCCCGCGCCCCGCACCTGGAGCTCCTCGGTCCCGCAGGCTGCCGCCCCCCCTTTCCTCACTTGACCCCCTCCCCCTCCCTTGCCCAACCCCCCCCCCCGCCAGCCCCCTTCCCTTTCCTCCCCTCCCTCCCTCATCCACCCCGCCTGCCACACCCTCGCTCACCCCTGCAGCGACCCCGCCCCGCCCGCGCACCACCTCGCCGCGCTCCCGCATTCCCCTGCCCCGCCCACCGAGCCCCGCCTCCCGCCCCTCCCCCCGCAAGGATGTGCGGCCCCGCCCCAGGGCGGTGAATCTGTAACCCGGACCCCACCCTCCCGGCCCGCGGCCCCAGGCCAGGGCAAAGTCTCCTTGCGTCGGGACCGGACGGCTGCGGCGGAGATGGGGTCGGTGGGCCCCGCGCTGCTCTGGCTCCAGCTATGCGGTAGGCGGGCGCCGGCTAGAGCGCGCGGGACTGGGGACAGGATCTTGAGATGCAGGGGGTGGGGGCGGCTTGGCCCTTGTCGGGAGCACAACACCCACCGGGCCACGGGTCTGGCCAGTCACCCTGCCTCAGTCGCTGTGGGCCACTCCTCTGCACAAGCGGCTTAAAGCCGCCTGGTTCCGCTTCCCGTCCCTGTCCCCCACCCCGCCAGCCTCATCGCTCCACGGGACCCTTGAGCCTGCTGTCAACTGGACCACAAATCCTCCTGAGGGGCGACTAGGGGCAGGACAGGGTCTGGGCGGGTCCTGTGGGCAGGGCACACTGGTGTGGGCTCTGCAGACAGATAGGAGTCCATGCACAGATCGGGCTTGGAAAGGTTGGGCTGGCACACCCGGAGGGAGGGACAGCAGGGACAGCATGGACGTCTCTTCCTCAGTGCTCACCCAGGCCACCTACAAACTCTGGGTACCTGACACCAACTTCGACACCGGCACCAACTGGAGCCAGAACCGGACCCCGTGCGCCGGTGACACCATCCGGTTCCCAGCAGACAAGGTGCCTGGGGACCCGGCGAGGAGGGGCTCAAGCCGGGCAGGGTGAGGCTGTGGGCCATGGGGGCGCTGACCGCCTTCTCCACAGATGGTGTCTGTCCTGGTGCGAGGGAGCCACACCGTCGGCGACCTGGTGAGGCTGGGGTGGAGCTGGGACACGTGGCCCGCCCTCTGTGGTCAGGACAGAGGTGGCCTGGGCATCTTCATTCTATTCTGTTGAGGAAAACTCCACACTCCTGTGTTGAAGCCAGTGGTGGCTAGGTCCCCCCCCCCACTGTGTGGCTCAAGATGAGCCCCTGGGGGCCCTGTACCTGTTGGGAGCTTTCCCAAGGTCCAGCTTTCACCGCCAGGCTGTCCTGGCGACAAGGTCACTTGAGCTCCTTCAAGACGCTGTCTGCAGGTCCCTACATTGGTTTCGGGGAGCTAGGGCTCTCCACTGCCACCTGCGGCCTTCTTGCAGCCAATTCTTGTTTTTTAAACTAAACAAGGTTTTATTGTTTTGTGGTACTGGCGACTGAGCCTAGATCCTCCTAATGAGCTACGTCTCCAACCCGTTTTTAATTTTTATTTATTTATTTTGCATTTGTTACAAGGTCTCTCCTAGTGGTCCTCCTGTTTCCAGCCTCCCAAGCGCTGGGATCACAGGGCGCACCACCACCCCTAGTCTCATTCACTGTCTCAGTGTGCCCCAGGGCGGCCGCACTGCAGGCTGGAGATCAAACCCGCGGCCTGCGGCCTAAGCAGGCACTTTCATCCGCTGAGCTTATCTGGCTGGCCCTCCACACCTTTTTTTCAAAAAGTTGGCTTTTTGGCTTTTTGAGACATTGTTTCGTTATATTGTTCAGGCTGGCCCTGATGTCACTTTGTAGCCCCAGCTGGTGTCGAACTCAACAACGGGGTTACAGGCAAGCGCCACCATGCCCAGCTTAACACATTTTTTTGAGAGAGGATCACACTAAATTATTTAGCTGCTCAGGCTGGGCTCGAACTCATCATCCGTCTGCCTCAGCCCCCCCCCACCCCCCCAGTGCTGGGATGAAGCTGAATTTCATCCCCTCCGGAGGGTGGATGGGCCCGGGCTGTGGCTGGACTTAGTGGTGCCCAGGCCCTGGGGTGGGGCACAGGGTGCTCCCTGCCCTCTCTGGCACACCTGTCACTGTTGGCTTGCGAAGACATAAAATGCACTTCCTGGGACCCAAGAGGCCAGGATAGTGATGGTGCGGATGAGGGTCACACCGCCGAGCTTCAAGCCTGAGGCTCTGTCCCCTGGCCCCGCTTGCGCTGGAGCTCAGAGTTGGGGCCAGGCCGTTTCTACCCTAGTCCTGACAAGGCTGTGCCCATAGTGCCCCCCGCCCGTCTCCCATGCCCAGGATGCGGGGTCAGGGGTGCAGCCTGACTTCACATGGCAGGGTCCCAGGGGCTGCAGGGTGCAGGCAGCCTGGTCCTCAGCCGGCGCCTCCCGTAGCTCCTGCCGCTGGATGGGGAGCTCGTCCTGGCTCCCGGGGCGGGGTTCGGCGCCGCGCACGCCCACGCAGTCTCGCAGCCGGACTGTGGCCAGGAGTCGAGTGAGAACGCGGGCCTCGTGGGAGGGCACGGCTGGCGGTGACTGGGGGTTGTGTGGGGCGTCCCCGGGGGCCGGGCTTAGGGAAGCCTGGCAGGATGGCCCAGCTCCGGCTGAGGGGTCGCGCCCCCAGGGGGCCCTGTGCTCTTCCTCAACCCCGACCGCTTCTCCTGGCTCGACCCACACCTGTGGCGCTCTGGCGACGAGGCGCCCGGCTTCTTCTCCGTGGACGCCGAGCGCGTGCCTTGCGTCCACGACGATGTCCTCTTCCCGCGCAACGCCTCGTTCCGCGTGGGGCTGGGCCCCGGCGCCCGCCGCGTGAGCGTCCGCAGCGTCTCTGCGCTGGGCGAGGTAAGCACACGGCCGGGGCCGCGCGGGCGCCCCCCTGCGCGCGCGTGCGCACGCCGTGACTCCCATCCCGCAGACATTCACGCGCGACGAGGACCTGGCCGCGTTCCTGCAGTCACGCGCCGGCCGCCTGCGCTTCCACGGGCCGGGCGAGCTGCGCGTGGGCTCCGAGGCCTGCACCGATCCTTCCGGCTGCGAGTGCGGCAGCGCCCAGGTGAGCGCCCCGTGTCGCGGCCGGGGACGACGGCCGTGGCCCTTGCTGACTCCTGCATCCCTCCCGCCCGCAGACGCTGCCCTGGGTCTGCGCCGCGCTGCTCCAGCCTCGGGGTGGCCGCTGTCCCCCAGCGCCCTGCCACAACGCCCTGCGGCCGGAGGGCCAGTGCTGCGACCTCTGCGGTAAGCGCCCGCCAGCGGGGTTGGGGGCGAGCTGACCCCTAAGTTTACCGTCGGGCTCCATCCGCGTTAAGCCCACCCTCTGGTGACAGGAGCCGTGGTGTCACTGATCTATGACAGCGCCACCTTCAACCTGGAGCGGTACCGCGCAAGGCTTCTGGATACCTTCCTGGCCCAGGTAACGCGCCCTGGCCGGCCAGCCCGACGCCCCCACCTGCGACCCGCGACCCTCAGCCGACCTGTCCCCTCTCCAGCCGCAGTACCAGGGGCTGCAGGCAGCTGTGTCCAAGGTGCGGCGTGACAAAGAAGTCGGCATCCAGGTGGTGCTGGTGGAGCCCGCTCCCGGGACGAGCAGCGCAGGGCGGCTAGGGCGCGCGCTTCTGGCAGACGCGGCGGAGCACGGTAACCACCTCTGGGCCTGGGGTCGCCTGTCCCCGTCTGGAGTCCCCGATCCTCCAGTTCTGGGGTCCCATTTTCCCTGCCAAGCTCCTTGCAGGTAGGAACCTCAGATGCTGTCATTGCAGGAGTAGCCCTTGGGGTGCTGTCGGCAGCGCTGCGGGAGTCTGGTGCACCCCTGGGGAGCGGGTCTGTGGAGGCTCAGGTCTCACCCGCGGCCCGCTGGGGGCTCTGGGGCGGCTTGGCCACCGGGCTGCTGGTGCTGCTGGGGACAGCGTTGCTGTTGCACAGCACTGGCCGGCTCAGGTACACGAGGCAGGGCTGGAAGCAGCCTGTGGGGTGGCGGGCTCAGGTGTGGAAGGGGCTGCCCAGGTGAACCTGGTGCCCTGGGCTCCCCTGCCTCCCGCCCCCCCAGGTGGAGGAGACACCAGGAGCCAGAGTCCCAGCCCACAGGGGGGCCCAAGGGCTTCTCTAACCCGACGTTCAGTGCAGCCACCTGGGAGAAGCAGGTGAGTGTGGGAGGTTGTGGGACCTCCTCAGGACCTCCTTCCCCCTCTACCTCCTTCCCCCCATCTCTCTGCAGCCCCCAGGGCAGCTGCCCAGCCCAGCACTAACCATGGACAACAGCTCCTGCTACTTTGTGAACCCACTGTTTGCTGCAGAGGCTGAAGTCTGATCCCCTGGCCCCCACCTCCTGTGCGGCAGAACCCCTACCTCAACACTGCGCCCCTGCCCTGAGCCTAATAAAGGGTTTTCTGCACTAGCGTGAGCACAGGCAACACATCCTGCCCCTCAGCCACGCTCTGCTGGGCCACACTGCTGGCGGGCGGGGCACTAGGCTCCCCATGTCGCCCACACCAAGCAGCTCAGCAGGGCTGACAAGGGAGAGGCTGGGCAGGGGGGCATGGGTATCAGTGCCACACGGTTCCAGAGAGCCAGAGGCCTCTCTGCTGGGGACAGAGGAGACAGCCCTGGGGTCTGGTAGGTCCGCCTGAAGCCTGGCTCCTGGAGAGCGCTGCGCCTCACAGGAGGCACCGGAGGGCGGGGCTTGTCGCAGGGTTAAACTGAGGGCCTTTATGCTGGGCTACACCGTGGTTGTGCGGCCAGGGAGGCCATCGTGCCTGTCACCTGCTCACTCACAGGTGCAGCTTGGCTGTCACGCAGCTGTCTCACACTCTGGCTTTTCTATGGCATTTGGGTCCCGTGGGTGTGACTTGCCACATATGAATGCTACATGGGCTATGAAGTCTACTTGTCAACGTGTTCACTTGCCCCCCAGCCCTGGGGGCTGGACTCGGGCCTTTGGTGTTCACTTTGAAAACACAGCCAACAGCCAGCTGAGCACAATGGCACATGCTGGTAACCCCAGCAGTCTTGGAGGCCGAGGCCGGGCCGTACGATCCCAAGTGTGAGCCCAGCCTTTGATCTGGAGCAGTGCCACCATCTGCTCCCGGACACTTTCCCAGAACTTGGCCACTCAGCATTCCCTGTCTCAAAAAAAAAAAGGGACAGGGATGTAGCTCTCAGTGATGTCCCTGGGCTTAATCCCCAGCTCTTAAATCAAAGTGGCTGACAGCAAGCCATGGTGACTCATACCTGTAACCTTGGCTACTCCAGAGGCTGAGGCAGAAGGATCATGAATCCTAGACCAGCCACACATGGTAGCTCACACTTGTAATCCCAGCACTCTGAAGGCTGAGGCAGGAGGATCAACACGAGTCTGAGGCCAGCCTGAACTCACAGCAAGACCTTGTCTCAAAAAAAAGGCTCTGGGGCTGGAGAGATGGCTCAGTGGTCTAAAGCACCTACTTGGAACAAGCTTGGCAAAGTACAGGGACCACGGTTCGATCCCCCAGCACCACATGCCAGCCAGCTGCGCCCCCCTGGTGGGCTGAGCTGGCCACACACACACACACACACACACACACAATAAATAAATGTTAAAAAAAAAATAAAAAAAAAAAAAAAAAAAAAAAAAAAAAAAAAAAAAAAAAAAAAAGGCTCTAAGCCACCTTGGGCAACTTGGTAGACTCCAACCAGCGCTTAGCCTCACGTTCCCCAGCGTGGCATGAGTGTCCAAGGCAGGGCAGGCAGGTCCAGCCACCCTGTCGCTTTGCCAACCACCTGCCCTCGCCACAGCCCACGCCTGGTAGAGGTTCTGCAGCCGCTGTTCCCCCAAGGGTTTCGGGAAGGGTCCCGAGGTCAGCCCTGCCAGGTGTATGAGGCGGGGGGCGATCGATTTGAACCCCTGCAGCAGGACTCCAGAGTGGTGCGCCTGACATTCGCCCTGTTCCCCACTGTAGTCACACATGCACTGGACCTGGGTCCCAGGGCTGTGACCTGGAAGCAGCTCTGCCCCTCCTCAGGTGACTGCTGTGGCCTGAACTTCTGTTGACTACACTCCCAGAAAAGCTCACTCGGTCACTTCCATCAAGTACCCAGGGTCCCTAAGGTCTCAGCTGGAGGCAGACAAATGAACCGGCCTGGCACGGCCCCATCTCTCTCGTGTCTGTGTACAGTGGCCTGCACTGTCCAGGACGCGGGAGACTCGTTCTCAAGCTGAGACCCCACCCCGTCCCCACCAGCACCCTCAGGAGAGGTGGAAATTGGCAGAAATGTAAGCCTAGTGCTGGCGAGGGAGCTCAGCAGACTAACCGCCTGCTTAGGCACGTGCTGGACCAAGATTCAACGCTCGGCACCATGTGCCACACCGGCCCCGGCCCCAGGTGGGCCGAGCCAGCCACTGAGACCCGGCGTGATGGTGCGCACCTGTAATCCCAGCACTGGGGAGGCAGAAAACAGGAGCATCACTGAGTCCAAGCTGCGTAGTGAGACCCTGTAGCAAATACATAGAAGGAAAAAAAAACGTAACTCTGATGTTCTGGGGCACCCGCTCCTGTCGTAGGGACATGGGCAGCTCTTTGTATGGCCGTGACCCTGTGTCTTCTCTGACTTCCACTGTGGGGTGCTCCCAAGTCCCCAGGCACACTTGAGGCCATCACCCAAACCAGGGAGAACTTTAAAACTTTCATCTCTGCTTTATTGACAGGTAAATTGTTCAAAAATGTTCTCACGATTCAATAATTACAAAGACTCAGACTTACATTAAAAAAGTAAAAACCAGAGGCCCCAATAGGGCCCTGCAACTCAGGCCTGGAAGGGGTGGGTCAGGTGGCGCTGGGTGTGGCACCGCTGTGGGCTGTGGCCTCGGCCACCTCGGCCACGTGCAGTCCTTGACAGCATGGCTGCACACACTGCCAGACAGGAGGGCAGGGAGCCTGTCCCAAGCTGGGGGCAGGCCACATTTGCTGCCACAGTAGGTCCACAAGCCTTTCGAGACAGGACCACAGAGCTGACCATGTGACACAGGACACAAGAGGGTGTGGGGGTAGATACATGAGGGCATCCCCAGGCTCGGGGCCAGCTGTGTGCAGTGGCGGGGCTATCTGCAGGCCTGACTGGGTGCTCCTCACGGTTCCATGTGGGGCAGGCGGGGCAAGGCAGGAAGGGGCACGGTGCCCACTGCAAGCTTCCTGGACTCCGGCTCTCTTGGCCAGCAGGCAGAGTGGCCTGTCTGCTCTGACACACGCTGGCTCTACAAAAGGAAGCAGCAGCAGGTGCTGATGACACTTCCTGGCTGAGACCCAGAGCAGACTCCCTCGCAGGGACATGAGGCACCGTGCCGGCCTCTGCCTGCAGCCGGCCGTGCAACAGGAAAGTGAAAGCGAGGCCACAGCCAACAGCACTGTCCTGTCTGCAAGAATCTCAAGACACTGGGATGACACATGACTTGTTACTAGTCTCCTGGGGGCTTGGGAATGGTTTCAAGCAACAGGGGAGAGACAGATACTGAGGCCATGTCCCTATGCAGGCGAGGCCTGGTGCTAGGCCGGCGGTGTGGTGAGGTGTGTGGTGGTCCCTCATGTGCAAATGGAACACGGTGCCGCTCAGCTGTGCAGACAAGTGATCTGGTCTACGCCACAGAATGTGGCATCCAGCCTGTCACTATATTATCATAAAGATTCATATCTACAGATGGACCCTCCATCCTGTACAACACTGCTCAGCTCAGGCTTGGCGCTGGCGGGGCAGCGGCCTCAGGCGTCGCAGGCAGGATGCTCCAGGCCATCGAGGGGCAGCTGGCTCCGGTGGGGCGAGTTGGGGCTTGGCGGGCCACTGGGGTTGGAGCTGTTCGAGGGCGTCGAGTGTTTGGTGGAATCAGAATCAGGCTGTCAACACAGAGAGGGGACAGGTGAGAAATCCGTGTGGCCTGCTATGGTCCTCAGGCCACGCATACACTGGCCACCTCTTCCTCAGGCTGCTGGCCACAGCTCGTCAGCCACTGTTCTCCTGCACTCAGGAAGGCCGTGGTGGTTGCCATCACTACAGGGAGGGGACTCCACAAGACCATCACCAGGTGACCTAAAGCTGCGGGACACCATACAAGGAAGAGGGGACAGCCTGTGGGTGGAGACAGCTCTCCCTGACATCAGCAAAAGGATGCTGCTCTCATTGCTGCTGAGCCGCACTGCCCAGGGGTCCTGGCCAAGGCCACCAGGAGAGGAAAATGCAGAGGTCCTCAAGCTGGAGAGGGGCTGGGGACATAGCTCAGTGGCACAAGTGCCTGCCTGGCAAGCACAAGGTCCTAAGTTTGATTTCCATTACTAGGAAAAAATAAAATAAATAAATAAAAGAAATGCCCAGTTGGAGCAGAAGACAGCTCTCTGCCTGCGGCTGACACAAACGCAGAGCATCCCACAGCCTGAAGAAGTCGGCCCAGCTCGGGGCAGACCGACCCGCTCTGCCCGTGACAGCAGCGGTGCCAGGCTGAATGAGCCGACGGGCCCCATGCTCAGAGCTCCAGGGGAACAACTGGGCCAAACTTAAGGGGAGCTGGGAAATCTGCACCCCGAGGCCAGTGTCGCTGGAGGAAATGAAGGCCTCAACAAATGGGAAGACGCCGGAAATGACTGACATGGTCACACCCCACGTGATCTACAGATTCAGTGTGACCCCGGAATTCCAGTGGCCTTCTTGCCCAAATGGAAAAGCTAGTCCTCAAGGGGCCGGGGAGATGGCTTATTAGAGTAAGTGCTTGCCCAGCAAGTGCAAGGTCCTGAGTTCAAGCCCTGGTACCACTGAAAAAAAGCTAGTTCTTAAAACTCCTATTAAAAAAAAGAACAAAAACTAATCTATGAAACTGTAAACAGCACTTAAGCAGGAAGAAAGCTGAAGGACTCATGCACCCCAAATCTACCTCAGAACATGCTGTGAAGCCTAACCACGTGGGCCTAACCTAAAGCCCGACAGGGACAGAACAAAACCTGCCCTCCACCAGGCAATATCCAACAGGCCGCTGAGCGCACACGTGGGAGAAGTGGCTGCAGAGCTCTCCAGGCCCAGGCGCGGGCGGCGGAGTGCAGAAAGACCCCAGCTTGCACCACATACAGCGTGGCTAGAATTACGAAACTCACAAGAAAACAAAAGTAAATCCATGACTTGGATCTGGCAAAGAAAAAACATAAATGAGATTTCACCAAGACCAGAGATTTTAATACAGTATGTGAAATGATGACCAACAGAAGCGGAGGAAATACTCGCAGAAGATGCAGCTGGAATAGAAAGAGACAACTGAGTTAAAACCTGGCTCGGGGGCTGGGGAGATGGCTCGGCGGTCTAAAGCACCTACTTGGACCAAGCTAAGCTAAGCAAAGCACAGGGACCGCGGTTCAATCCCCCAGCACCACATGCCAGCCAGCCCCGCCCCCT